CCGAGCAGGTGAGCGTGCCCACTCCGTGGGTGCGTCCAAGTTGCTATATCACTCGCACACAGTGCAAACCGAGTGTTCGTGATCGTCAGGCCGTGAGAGGAGCCTGTCACCGTTCACATTCGCTGAACCAATGCCACGCGGACCGATAACATTTGTCCACACCGACGCATCACGCCCAACGCGCGCGTTGAAGTTACTCGGCAGAAATAGTCGGTTGCTCCTCGGCACAGACCGTATCATGGAGGATAGCTGAGTGTAGAATTGATCACGCGTGTCATCAGGATAACACATGGTCGGACCGTACGTGCTTATAAAGGTGGCAAACGTACCTCTTCCGAGTCTTAGGCGAACAGTCATCAGTCGCGCGCTGATGCCCGTTGGTTCACGCACCAGCTGGCAATGGAGGCGATCGGATATTGCAAATCCGATCCCATGTTCACGTGGTGGTGAGGCGTCGTTGGCGACCCATAGGATGTGTAGCCAGCACTTGCTTCATGCAACCTACCTTACTTTACGACCTGTTTTACCCTGAGGGCCGCGATATCGATGTGGTAGCGCACCAGTTCCATCGCGACCATGCAGTGAGTCGCTCGGGGTGCTCAGTCGAGTTCCGGTCCAGTAGTGTGCACACGTTCCCGTACCCGATGCTGTGCTTTGCACGCAGGCATACGATTGTATTGGTGGGCAATCGCACGCGAGGTGGCGGATGTGCATCGGAGGTTTGCATGGGGTACTCCATTCGGAGCCTTTGGCTCAATTGCCTGACTCACAAGGCAGTGGGGAGCAGATCCAGCTCGGGAATGTGATTGCAGAGACAGATTGGGATCTGCTTGACGGCCGTCACACGCAGTCTTTTAGGTACTGGAACGATTCATTTAGGTTTTTGCGATCGTATTAGGATACGCACCTGCGACCACGGTTAGACGCAGGTAGGTTTTGGCGGGTTGTACCAATTTGCTCATGGGCTGCCTGGCTTGAGGCGAGCAGTAGCAAAGCATTGGCCATCCGGAGGTGCCCTCCCACCGTCAGATACAATGCGTAGTGCTCGTGTTCTACGCCAATAGAGCTGTGAGCATATAACCCGTAGACCTGTTGTCTCCCATGGCTAGGTTTTACGGGAATAGGGCCATCGACCAGTTCCTAACCTCCGAAGAGCATGGACTAGGATACTGACAGGGCGCCCACACCTGACAGTAGAACGACTCTGGTCCTCCGCCAAAGCCTTCGATTAAATGTACACCTGAAAGGCAGCGGGTCTCGCACATGCCGAGGAGACCACAGGGCGTCCAAACTGTAAGCGGCCTGATTGATTTGATGAGAACAATGCAACGATTGGCGCACTGGTGTCGCGGAAGGATGCAGGGTTTACTGCACATATGGCAGACCCCAGTGACTTGGGGAAGATTAGTCAGTTTCATAAATTTCGACGGCGACTGACCCGAGAGATCCGTCGCATTAAAAATGCATGGTGGACGGAGAAGGCGAAGCAGATGGAATGCTACGCCGAACGCCGCCAACACAAGGAATTCTTTGACTCCTTGAAGGCGGTATATGGACCGAGATTAGAATCGCTGAAAACGCTGATCGATGGTAGCTCAGACGCTACCTGCACACAGACTGCAGACATAATGCAGATCTGACGAAAAATCTTTGATTGTCTCTTGAACAAACGTTAAGAGATCGAGTGGCCTACATTGAACTGCCTGAAGCAGCTCGATGAGACGACGAGTTTTGCGGGCACGCCCAGACTGGATGAGACGCAGAGAGCACTTGATCAGTTGCGAACCGGCAAGTGTGCCGGGGTCGACGGCAGCCCGCTTGAAGTATTGAAACATGGCGGACCCGCGTTGTTGACTGTGCTGCACCACTTGGTGCAACGCGTATGGATTGAGGAGGTGTCTCCTGAGCTGAAGGATGTCCTTGTGCTACCACTGTACAAGGGCAAAGGGAGCAAGCAATGTTGCACGAATTATCGTGGCAGCAACTTGCTGAATTGTGTTTGCCAGCTGACTGCCCGGATTCTGCTCAACCGCCTCGTCAGTCAGATTTTGGAACCTAACGTGGCGGAAGAGCAGTGTGGATTCCGTTCTGGTCGCAGCACTATGGATATGGTGTTTGCGGCTCGTTAGTTGTAGGAGAAGGGCAGGAAACGACGCCAGCCGTTGTGCTCGGTTTTTGTTGGTTTCACCAAGGCATTTGATACGGTGAATCGCGAGGCATTGTGCCTGGTGTTGGGTTAGTTTGGTTGCCCGTGTAGGTTTGTACATTTTATTGAATGCCTGCACAGTGGTATGCGGGCGACGGTGCAGCTGAGTGGAGAGACCTCGGATGACTTTGCAGTTGTCTCTGGTGTGAAGGAAGGCTGTGTCTTAGCTTTTTTCCTGTTTAACATATATCTTGATGCCATGCTGTCTTGTGCTTTTGATGCGGCTTGTGCTTACGGTGTTCGTGTGGAGCACCGTATTGATGTTGGATTGTGAACATGTGTCGTTTAGGTACGAGAACTCCAGTCCGTGAGACAACTATCAGAATGTCGCTGTTCGATGACGACTGTGCGTTGGTTGCACACAGCGCAGATGAGTTGCAGCACATGACTAGTGCTGTGGCTTCGACAGCGGCCAAATTCGCGCTCACCATCAACACAAGCAAAACTGTCTGTCTCTTTTAGTCTTCAGTGGAGGTGCAATCTTCAATATTACTGCAAATCATCATTGGTGCTAAATTATGCGAAACTACCGCGTGTCGAAGGCAGCGGCGGCATTCGGGAAGCTGGAGTACCGAGTGTGGAACAACCATCAGCTTACTACTGGCACGAAGCTGATGGTGTGCAAATCCATCGTGCTGTCCGTTCTTCTATACGGCAGTGAAACGTGGACAATGCACTGGCGGGATGTGCGATATCTCGAGCAGTTCCATCATCAGTGTTGACGATAGATTTTGCGCATCGGATGGGGAGACAGAGTTGCTGACACGGTAGTGTTGCGCCGAAGTGGGATGTATGCAGTGAACTGCATACTTTTGCTGAGACACCTGAAGTTGGTCAGTCATGTTTGACGTATGGATTCTAAGCGGATACCGAGATGACTATTTTATGGTCAGCTGAGTTTTGGGAAGCGGCATGTGGGGATACCAAAGTTACCTAACCAGGAGATGATGTACGTGCGCCTCTCACGTTCTAATCTTCATTGCAGGTCATGGGAATCGAAGGCGGTTAATTGGCGTGCATGGTGCGGTCTGATCACGAAGGCAGTTGCGGAAGTGCGGGAGACTTAGCTCATAATGCAGAGAAGAAAAGGCAATTGGAAATGTGGCAAGCACGGATGGGTTTTACTCCATCGACATCGAGCGCATGGTGCTGTAGTAGATGCGGTCGCGAGTGCCTGAGTCAGGCAGGCTTAGTGAGCCATGAGCGAGGCCACTTGGGACAACCACGGAAGCGACAACGGGTCCTGCTGAGAACGTAGGCAGAACCAGCGCATCGTTTGTAGGTACGCTGCATTCGGTTTACTAACCGCTTGCTTGCATGCTTAATCTCTTTATTTCAGGTGGTGGGTCTGCAATTTTGTCTCAATACTTTTCTTTCCCATATAAATGTCTACCTGTACTCTCTTCTATAAACATGCACACGTCGCTTAAGCCAGTCGTAGATAATTTCGATAACATTTTCGTGTTTGTGTCATTTTCTTAAAATGTACTTTCTTATCTCGTGGACTTATCTCGGATCCTTTGTAAACAACTGATTTTATACACTCATTAATTTACATTTTTGTCAAGTTTCCTTATGCATTACTCGATTTATTTTTTTTTGTTTTCTTTCTCTCAAGTGATTGGCTGTTGCTTGATATCCCTGGTGCGGTTGCACTTGATGTGCATGTTGACAAGGTGCCTAACTGTCTATTACCCACTGCCTCGTGCATACTGGCTCTAGGAGACAGTTGGTCTTTGCTGGAGGAGACGGGGTGCACGGTTCTTGTGGCCGTGTTAGGACCAAAGAGGGGTTCCACGAACTCAGTGTGTAGCTGACTACTGTCCATCCACTGCCTTGTGTGTGCGATTGATTCCCAACTACAGCGTGCCTGTGAAGGAGTGTAGGCCGGCTCCGTTGATGAAACGTGGCCCTCATCCACATGCTTCCCGGTCTTATTCCTTTGGGTTTACACTGGATACGGGGTGTGGTTGGAGCTGTGGGTGGTGCAGCGCAAGCCATCCATGGTCCCTCTGTAGGCGTAGGCGTCCTGTGGCTGGCTACCTTGACAGGCAGATCCGAAACCGGATACGTCCGACCATACATATATATATATATATATATATATATATATATATATATATATATATATATATATATATATATATATATATATATATATATATATATATATATATATATGGAACTGCTCGCATCGGAATATTTAGACCTACAGGGTGATTGTTCTCTGGCCGTTTCTCTTTACTGCATGCCTTATGCCAGTTTGAACGAAATCGTGCTGAATTTCACGTAAAGGCCCAGCGTAGTTAGTCGGTTGTCCATTGCACGAAATGTGGAATTTAACTTGACGCGTATGACATGTGGTTACATTTGCTCGATTTGCGATTATCTTGGGTCATGCTTCGCAGGTTTATTGTTTCGGCATTATAAATAATCCGAGATCAAAATGGCGACCGATTTTGGGGCACTTAGCGCTTGTTTTATCCAAGGGATTACAGACGATAGTTTTAAAATTCAGAATCCGTACTGAAACTGTAGTATTGCCATCTCCACGATAAAATTTCAATGCACCGAAACCTCCGACAGGAATCTTTTTTGCACAGCCAGAGAAGAACCAACCGGAATTTTATAACCGCCGACTGCAAGTCTAACTGTAGACTAGCTAGCCGCTCAGTTACATTTTCTCACGACGTGCCCTTAGTCATCACCAATACAGAGTCGAGATCATTAAACCACCCTCTGTGCCGCCATTTCCCATTATGTGTACCTACTTTCCACATATCTTCGACATCTTATGCGCATCATTTTAACCTCTCTTTACTTGGGCTCGTTTCCTTACCAAGTCTTATCGGTAAGCGCCACAACTTCCTTTTATTGTATTTCATTTTTAACTTTCAAGTCCCTGTGATATGTTCACCGTACATATCCTCTCTTTCTTTGTGTTCCAGGTGACTGGGGGCGCAGGCTTTGTAGGCTCTCACCTTGTCGATCGATTGATGCAAGATGGACATGAAGTTATTGCCCTGGATAATTACGCTACAGGTGGGCGCCACAACATTGAACACTGGCTGGGTCATACCAATTTCGAACTGCTTCATCATGATGTTGCGGATCCTATTAGCATACAAGGTAACTCTCCCGTCTCTTGTTTAGGTGAGAGTTTAAACCCTAAGACCAACCATCTGTATCACTGTTTCACCGTTAACTGCGCTGTTTTCGGGAATACATGAATCTTTTTGTCACATAACTGTAAGCTCTAGTCACTAGGTAGCCAGCACCAGGTGACGTGATCGACTTGACCGTGGTTCGCCTAAGAGCAAATATCTGTCATTTGAGCATACACCCAGAACCCGACATTAAAGTAACCGGTTATTTACCGTGGCTTATCACCCCCCCACTGGGATGTACTAACAGGGATAGCTAGATCAGCATAGTGGTTTGCATAAACCTCTTCCTCTTAATGCCGATTCTCATGCTAACCAATACCTCTCTGAAACTGGTTCCTTGGTTATCATGGGAGCTTTTGTGCTTATCATATCGGCTCCTAACTTCCGCATCGACCACCAGTGCACAAGTTTAATCACATTGCAACCGCCTGAGTTGGTTTGGTCCGCTTAATAACCGAGTACTGGCCCATGACCCTGTGCTCATTGCGATCAACTCCGTGTACTTCTGTTTTCTCTGCTGCGCTGCTCGCATCGTTAATTTTTCGTAGGCCCTTCAACCACATACAACAACGTTAAGTCATCTGCGATCGTCGGTAGCCCTAAAAGTATCTCCCTATGTGCTACTGATCATCAGACTCCCACAAAGCTGTTTCATAGCGCAGCAACTGAAACTGGTGTTTGCAAGTATGCTACATGACGTTGCACACCACTTTCGACTGAGCATCAAAGTGACCACATACCTCAAGCAGAGCATGTAGTATGACCTTATTTGACAATAAATTAAAGTCACATCTCTCGTTTCCTGCCAGTCCATTTCCTGACAACAAGTTATTTTACACCTTGGCCGAATGAATAACACCGTGTTATCGCTTGACCTGTGTGGCACTACAACTCTCAGTATTCGGACCGTAGTACAAGACAGCCGAACACGGCAGTTTCGACAGTACGCAAAATATACTCCGACTAGCATCGAGCACAACGCTTTGCACAATTAAAAATAGTTCAATCGATGACTAGCTTGGCATTAAACTGATAAACACTGACGCTAGTAAAACCATACAGAATAGCAAGTAAACTAAGTCGGTTCACGTAGATGCCACACACAGCAGCAGTTCTTCGCGATATGCTGAACCATCTGTTCGCAGTTTTTCTCTTGCAAAAGTTCACGCTTATTGGGCCTATCGCTCGCTTTTGCTGAAGACACCTTCAAGGTATCCTCGAATATCTTCTGCTCATTGTTTAGTTTCACGTAGACCTTTATTATACCCCAAATATCGTAAAGCTCTGTCCTTCATGAATCGCGAGGAATGGTGGTTTGAGCTTGCTTTAGAGATGGAGACCGATGCCCTTTATAGCAGAACTCGTAAGCTTTTCCAATTCATTCGATCCACTGGCCTCAGGATGCTTGGTGTCAGTGAGGTTCTCTGCGAGGCCGATAGGTCTCCGATCACCAGCCAGCAGAAGCGTTTGGACCGATGGGCCCCAATTCAACTCTCCTCCAACGTCCATCCGTGTACGCAGTCCACCTTGTTGCGTACTCTGGCTCGTGCCACTGAGTCAACCCAGCGAAGGGGAAGTCTACCTCGAGATTCAACAATCAAAACGATTCAAGGCTGCCGACTCAGACGGACCTCCTCCTGAGCTGTTCAGGTACGGCAGCATGGCAGTCACGGGACAGCTGCCCTTGTTATTCTCTAAAATATGGCATGAAGAAGAGATGCCTTCATCTAAAAGTGAATCAGTTATTGTCACTATTTTAAGAAAGACACTCCCACTCCATGTGTCAATCATGGAGGGAGTAGTCTCATTTCGGTTACTTCCAAGCAGTTTCGTAGACTAACCGCAGTACGTGATTCACACTGTCGTGAAGAATAACTTACTTCCCGTCCCGGCCATGGATGTATAGATCAAATTTTCGCACTCCAACAACTCAAATATCGTCACATTTACCACCGGCCCCCTATCTAGATAAATAAATAAATAACCGTATATTTACCGACAAACGGTACACGGCCCCATAAGTGGGAGCGATCATTTGTATAGTGAATACGTTACATAATGGTAAAGAAAAGTTTATTAATCGAATTTCTGATCATGATTTTTTTTTCTCGGGTCCTAGACCCGTGCACCTCTTAGGTAAAAATTACGGATGTTTGTATCATCAGGAGTAGATAATAAAAGAGAGGGGCTACTAGGCTGCACAGACGCAGGATTTGGTATTTGTAGGTAATGACATGTAGTGGGTAAGCTAGCTGTAAGCGAATATCTGCTCCTATGTTTTTTATACCAGCTTCTGTCAGTGTTTCTAGTGTTTGCTGTGAGTCGAATATCTTCAACAAATTTGGTATAGTGAGGAATGTCTGAAGGGAATTTCGAAATGTGACACAGCTTATACTCATGCGTATCTGTAGGGGTAGTGTGTTCCACAGATCAGTGTATCTCACTAAGAAGAAATTCGACCGAGTTTTATGACTTAAAGGTTTGTGCGTATCAGGTAACCGCCATTACGTGTGGGGTAAACTGCAGTCTTTCGTAGTTCAAGTGCTGTGCTGTCTTCGTAAATGCGTTGGTTTATAATGTTGCAGAAGGTGGTTGTTCTTTAAGCGTCTCAGACAAAGAGGATCCAGTTGGTGTTTTCAACAGCGATCACGATAAGTCAGGTTTGAGCAGCGCCCCATGACCAGCTTGGTAAATGATCGTTGGACATTTTCCAGAGCCTTCCTGTATTTCTTTCTCAATTGGCTGTGAACGATATTACAATATTCCAGAGTCGGTCGTACGATTGTCCTGAATGACTCAAGTCGTGCTTCAGTTAGGGAGAAAGTTCTGGTGATATATTCGCATAACTGCCTTACTTTCGCAACCTCATAAATTACATCTAAGAAATTGAAAGAGTTCGAGTACCTAATTCCTGTGTTCCGAACGGAATCAGACGTTGGGATCACGTTTCCGGCAAGTATGATAGAGCCTTCTGGAATGCGGCATCTGTCCCCGTATACTTGGGATTTCACTGAGGAGAACTTCATTAATAAGCGCTCACTATCGTCGCATTCCTAGACATACGGGTTGCGTTTTACTGGGTTGATCGACCTGCATTATGACGTAGCTTGCTAAAGAAGAGAAGTATATCCCAATATTATCCGCACTTTATCTTTAGATCTCTAACAGTGTGGGATAGTTTACGACAAGCATTCTTCGCCCATTCACTGTTAATAGCGGTGTGCGATAGAGCTGCCATATGTACCCATTCCTCTTCAACTTCGCAATCGAGGACTTCCTGTCGAGTGCTCTAGAATGTTTCCAGTATTTTGACCTAGAAACTACCGACTTAGAGTATGCTGATGAGATTATCTTACATGGGTGACGATCCTCAGAGTATACAGCTCAATCTGAATCGTTGAAGCATCTAAGTATTGCGTGAGCTTCGCGCCCTCCTAGTGTAATACGTTGCTTCAGGATTGGCCTCCACCTGCTCTCGTGCTCACCCTTGAAGTTGCATAGGTAGATAGTTTCGTGTACGTTGGGAGCTGAGTTTATGCCTGTGACCAGAACAGCGAAGAAGTTTCTCTTCGCATCGCTAAAACCTGATCAGCATTTGTCAATCTGAGGCACTTGTGACGTCGTCATGACGTCTCATTCTCGATAAAGGGCCATGTTTACAGTACCTCTGTTCGTTCAGTGTTGTTGTAAAGGAGCGAGTTCTGGCCAGTTCGCCTGGACGATATGCGCCGCCTTGGACACTGGTTATTTGGTGATGATCGCTCATGTGTGGCATAAACACTGAGTTCACAGTGAAGACGTTTGACGTTGCATCTTGGGGTATGTAAGTAATCCATTCAACGAACTCATTTTACTGCGCCAGTTGAGATGGCTCGATCACATCTTACGCATGACGCCTGAGTGTTTGCCCCGCCGCGGTCTTTTCGCTCGTTAAGGGCCGGGCTGGAGGCGATCGCGTAGTGGTCAGCCTTCCACTTGGCAACAACATATGAAATCATTGACTTTACGTCTAGCTCTCGTTGGACCTGTACCACTTCTATTTGGGGACCTAAAGATGAGTAGCGTCACTGGCTTAACACGGTTGAAGACATTGTCCGCAACCAGAATCGTTGAAAATTTTTGTAAAGTATTGTACTGATTCGCATATTTAATGCCTCAAACCCTAAACTTGACAAAGCAGAAGAAAACTTGGTGTGTGAAAAATCAAAAATGGTTCGTTTCTTTGTCTAAGCCTATTTTCCTTTTAGTCGCATGCTTCTTTGATGGCTCCATGTCCACTTCCTGGGCTAGTGATTATACATATATTGAACTGACGACATTCGTCTCCGGATTTGCGTGTCATTGTGGCCTTCATGAGCAGTCACAGGAAGCCTGTGGCTACAGAGGAACCACGGGTTGTTCCCTATTTCCATCCACATGCACGCATGGTTGGCGGTATCCGGTTTCGGATCTGCTTATCACTGTGCCCAGTCACAGGACGCCTGTGCCTACAGAGGAACCATGGATGGCTTGTCCCTCACCACACACAGCTCCAACCACACACCCCATATCCAGTGTAAACCCGAAGGAATAAGACCGGGAAGCATGTGGATGGGAGCCACGTTTCATCAACGGAGCCGACCCACACTCCTTCACAGGCAAACACAAGCACGCTGTATTTGGGAATCAATCGCACACAAGACTGTGGCTGGACCGTAGTCCGCTCCACACTGAGTGCATGGAACCACTCTTTGAGCCTAGCACGCCCACAAGGACTGTGCACCCCGTCATTTCCAGCAGCGACCAGCAGTCTCCTAGAGCCAGTATGGACGAGGCAGTGGGTAATAGACAGTTAGGCACCTTGTCAACATGCACATCAAACGCAGCCACACTTGGGATGTCGAGCAACAGCCAATCACTTAAAACGACAAGATGAAATAAAATAAAGCGAGTAATGCATACAGATAAATGAGGGTGTGAAAG